AACAATTATCTTCTGAACAAATGGCAAAAATTGCTACAAAAACTACTATTACTGCTGTTAATAAACAGCCAACAAAGATCACTATCACTAAACAACCAACAAAAACTATTACTAATATCGATAATCAAAAGAAACAAACAAAAGTTACTACTGCTAAAGTAGTAGAACAAATAACTCCTGCTTCAGATAAACCAATAGATACTAAAGATGATAAATCTTTAGTACAGATTAACGAGAAGTTAGCTAATGTACGCTGAAATTGAGCAAATTTCATCAGAAACCAAAGAATCTGATCAAATAATTATTATAGAAGAAATAGATGAATCTGAAGAGGCGTTAATAGCTGAATGGTTAATTGGTACTGGTTTAACATTTAAACAAGTTAGACCTATTGTAGTTGATGTTGTTCAAATTTCAGAATCAGAAAAACGAAAATCTTTAATTGATAAACGAAGATCTTTAATAGAAAAACGAAAATCTTTGACAAAAACCTTGACAGAAAAACGAAGATCACTTCTAATTCAGAATACCGAATATGATCTAGGACCAAGAAATAATAGTTTACAAGTTGATGCTTGTTAAATTTTTGAATTAGAGACTTGGATTCTTATATCTAAATATGTATGTACTGTAAATTATTGGGCTTGGAGATTATAAAGGATGATTTTTTTGTATTATTATGAATAATTTAGTAATATATGATATTCTTTATACAGTATAACGTTTATTTTTTTTATATATATACAATATTTTGTTATAAATTTACATTATATGGTCTTGATAAAAGAACTAAAGATTTATATATGTTTATTTATTAAGAGATTATTATTCTTATTAAAATTTTTTATTATTTAAAAAATTACGTACAGTACGTATTAAGAAAAATTTTTTGCAAACTTTTTTGTGATGACGTGTAGAAAAAACGTGATTATTGATCACCAATTAAAAAAACGTGATCAAATTATTGCTACGTTTATACAAATTAAAAAAAAAAACCAACAAAATCCAAGCATAGTAAAATTGTTCCAAACCCTATCTCTTTCAAAAATAAAATTCGTTCCAATTCCAATCTCAAAGCTTACAGTCTCATAATTACCGTAGTAAGAACAAATACCTTAATACTCGTTTAGTTTGTTCTCGCAGACGTCATGCCCGTACAACCACACCCCGG